TGCTCTTATTACCCAGGCTGGAGTGCAATGGCGCATCTTGGCTCACCGCAACCTCTGTCTCCTGGGTTCAAGCAATTCTCCTGCCTCAGCCTCCCAAGTAGCTGGGACTACAGGTGTGCACCACCATGCCCAGCTAATTTTTGTATTTTTAGTAGAGACTGAATTTCGCCATGTTGACCAGGATGGTCTCGATCTCTTGACCTCTTGATCCACCCACCTGGGCCTCCTAAAGTGCTGGGATTACAGGCGTGAGCCACCATGCCCGGCCTGTTTCATCTCTTTTACAAGTCTTCAAAGAAACGCTTCAGCGTCTTGATCTCACATGTTTAAAATTTCCATTGAACGTTATGCTCTTATCTGTGGCTGCTTTGGACACAGACCTCCTAAGCTAGGGCAAGATAGGTGGAAGATACTATCCATCTCCCTTTGCCGACTCAACAGACTTCAACTTAGATGGAAGAAAAATAGGTTTTCAACATCCCTTACCTGCCACTGAGGAAGAGTTTTGGCACCCATTGAGTGGAAAGTTTGCTCAACTTTAATTTTTTTCCATCAGAATTGTGTAAACTGAACCAATTGAGATATCTGTGATGTTGGCTATTGTTTTTGCTATTAATCATCAACCTCTTCAGTTATGGCACAAACAAGATTAATTTTTTCCTTGCAAATTGATATAGATGGTCTCTGGCTTTAGGTTTCTTCTTCAACACCTTATCCCTTCTTAAAATCAGTTACCATTTGTAAACTGCTGATTTCGTTGGGGCATTGTCCCCGTAAACTTTGGATAAAGCTCAGTGATTTCATAATTCTTCCACCTAAGCGTCATCATATATTTGTTTGTTCTTGCTTCAGTTTTAGCAGAATTCATGTTGCTTTGATGGGGGCTCTTTTCAAACTGATGTCTTATCTTTTTTAGTGCCTCAAACTAGATCCTGTTCAGATACATTATTAAAAGTTAATATGAGTATATTTTGGTGCAAAAAAAACTGAAGTCCAGGGATAGTTTTTTTTTTTCATTGTATATACATATATATATATTTTTTTCTTTTTTTTTTTTTTGAGATGGAGTCTTACTCTGTCACCAAGGCTAGAGTGGAGTGGTGTGATCTCAGCTCACTGCAACCTTCGCCCCCTAGGTTCAAGCAAGTCTCCTGCCTCAGCCTCCCGAGTAGCTGGGATTATAGGCATCTGCCACCATGCCTGGCTAATTTTTTTATTTTTAGTAGAGACGGGGTTTCAACTCTGACTTTGTGATCCACAGGTGTGAGCCACTGTGCCTGGCATAATATACATTTTCTATGAACTTTTTGAAGACCCCTCATATATCAAAGCAGACTAGGGCTAGATCCTGCAGTTAGGTGGGCCTTGGTCCAAATCTAGGCTTACTATGTAATCACCCAAGTCATGAACTCTCTCTCATGAGCCACAGTTTCCTCATCTTTCAAATGGGGTTAATACTCTATCTCATAAGGTTGTTTTGTGATTAACACATGTAAAGTTCTTGGTACATAGTAGGGCTTCAATAGACACAAGCAATGATTATTGTAAACTAAGTAAGCTGTAGCT